ATTCCATTTCAATGAAACTTAGTACAAAGATGCTCTAGGACAATGTACAAACCTAATTAGTTTGGGGTAAAAATCTGTTCATATTAATTCCCTAATAAGCATAATAATTCATAATTTTTTGGTTCTAATCACATTTCAATTAAACTTGGAGACATAGATTTTCTGTTACATTGCGCAGACCTCATTCGTTTTACACTCAAATCTGGTCATATTAATTTTCTGATTTGCATAATTAGTTTTCAGCTAAGTAATTTCGAATTATATTTAATGTGTCTCCAATACTCTCAGCACATGGGAGTTCTTTCTAAGCTTTCTTTGATTCTTTATTGTAACTCGTTTATTTTACAACACATGATGTCTAGTAATAATGGTTATGAATGTGAGCCGAGTACATTTTTAATGTACTATTCTTGTCTAAATTGATCTTTGTTTCTCTGTATAGGAACCATATATGGAAGCATTGAATCCATTTATTGTTCTCAATAAAGGACGCATGATACGCTTTCTAGATGAACTATCGGTAAGTATTATTTTAATTACTCTATCAGCTCTATTAGTAGCAAATAAACTTATGTAAATATCAAAGGTGTGTCATGTTCAAGTAATATTTTAGAAAATCAGTATCAAACAAATGTAATTGCCTTGCCCGTAGTGTAGTGTAAAGGAAGGGGAAGGTATAGTAATGTGAAGATTTTGGCGTTGTTGTTGTTGTCAAGTATTTTTACACGATCGGTTTCAAATTTATATATGTTATAAACAAACATGCAACGATGGCCAAGTTCGATGTTTGTGCATTTTGCTTGCATAATTAATGAGAGATGGCTACTGATTGGTTTTTGCTTGTTGGCGTGATAACTTGAGAAATTTTTACACGATCGATTACAAATTTATATATGTTATAAACAAACATGCAACGATGGCCAAGTTTGATGTTTATGTGCATTTTGCTTGCATAATTAATGAGAGATGGCTACTGATAACTCAAGTAATTTTTACCCGATCAGTTTCAAATTTATATATTGTATAAACAAAGGTATAAGAATAACAAAGTTCATTATTGGTGCACTTTACATGCATAAGTAATGAGATATGATGTAATTATTTTTTCTGTGAAAGCTTTTTTTAGTTAAAGAAAAGTAATTTTAATGTTTTGAAATTCAATCCTACTAATCTGTATCAGGATTTAACGTGAAAATCCATGGTGTAGTAGTTGGTTTGAAATCCTTTGGAGTTTTCCATTGTTGTGTGATTATGTATACATTTTATCTTATTGGAACCAGTGCCATCTTAAGTTCATTATAGAAAAATGCCTTTGTTTTTTACTCTAGTTAATATTTGAGCTTCATGTGAAGTCACTGTATGGTAATTAGATCTGTTCAAAATTTATTTTCAAACAAATTTGTGAGTTTATACTGTGAGCAGTAATCTTCTCAAATAGCCGCATTGGGTTAATTTTGTACAACTATGTGTGTCATTTCATTTCCATTGTGTGACTTGAGTATGTTTTTCCATCTTATTATAATGAGGGCCATCTCGAATTCATTATTAGAAAATGCCTTCTATTTATACTTTTAGTTAACATTTGATCTTTGTGAGAAGTCATTGCATGGTAATTAGATCTTGTCAAGGTCAGTTGTCAACAAATGCTTGAGCTTGGTACTGTCATCATTACAAACACATTCTTTTAGTTTACTTAGTTTGTTAAACATTATAAGATGATATTCTACTGTAAGCAGTTGTACTTGGTACTAGTCCTCATTGTTTTGTAAAGTTGCTACTGTACATGTACAATAAGTTATATCCTAGAATTCACATATAATACTTATTCTATAAGTTGCTATAAAGCATATTCAGTATTCTTCAGTGCAATAAGTTTTCTAAAGTTATTACTGTACAATCAGTTGTATCACATAAGATAATTATATGATAAGTTGGCATATATAGTAGTTGTTATTAGTCCCTGTTCGGACGAAGTCTGAAAACAGGGACTTATAATTCGGTCTCCTTCCGTGCGGAGTCACGTTTTTGAAAATGTTGTAATTTGGACACACTTTGTCAGTTTTCATTCAAACTTGGTACATATATTATACATGTTAGGATACATGTCCATGACGATTTATTTCACAATTGGATCAAAGATGGCCGACTGACAGCCTTCTTGTTTTTTGAAAATGTTGTATTTTGGACATGCTTTGTTAGTTTTCATTCAAATTTAGTACATAGATCATACACGTTTCCGACCATCCGTGAGTTCCTGAGTCTGTCCGTCCGTCTGTCCGTGCGTCAGTCTGTCCAGAGTCATATTTCAGAATCCTGTGGACCAATTCCTTTCATTCTTTGCATGTGCCTAGTACCTTATGTGGGACTGCACATGCAGTGGTTCACCGATTTGATTCAAAATGGCCGACTGGCAGCCATCTTGTTTTTTTGAAAATGTTGTATTTTGGACATGCTTTGTCAGTTGTCATTCAAACTTGGTACATAGTTTATACATGTTAGGATACAATTGGATCAAAGATGGTTGACTGGCAGGTATCTTGTTTTGTTTTTTTATGCTATATCTTGGACGTGCTCTGTCAGTTTTCATTCAAATTTGGCATATACATGTACTTTATACATGTTAGGATGCATGTCCATGACAATTTGTTTCAAAATCCGGTCAAGGATGGCCGATTGACAGCCATCTGATTTTTTGACCTTACTGCTATATTTCCACAGTTTATGTACACATACATCATACATATCAGTGTGTTTCATAATCAGATCAAAGATGGCCGAATAATGGCTGTTCTTATTTTTGGCCATATTACTACTACAAGGAACTTGTGTTTTGATGTAAATAAACAATCTGTTGTATATACGCCACTTGGAACTCAAGTTTCAAGGACACGCTCGCAACAACCCCTCCGCTTTAATATGATGAGCACAAAGAGAACTTTCAAAAATTTAACAGGGACTGTGTCATTTTCAATGACTTGTTGAAATGTGCATTGCTAACAGCGCAGCTATCTCAGCCGACAGGCTGTTTGTTTAAAAACTAACGAAGCACACTGTCTATCATATGTTTTTCATTTGCTGATTTCTATTCTGAAAAATTTGACCGTTCGAAAATGCACCTTAATTTTGTACTCTAAAAACATGTCAGATTTCCAACACAAATTATTTAAACACGGTGTAAAACAAAACAAACGTTGTAAACCCAACCTTTTAAACTAAATTATGGGGAAAACCAAAATTTGTAAGCACATTTCATTACAAATTAATACTACTTTACCATTTGTTGCCTTATTCAGAACATGACAGAATGGCCTGAAATTGGACCACCCACCTCATCGGATTTGAGCAGAGACCTAGCTGCATTACATCAGATATGTTTTGCTCATATAAAAGATATTCACCGATTAAGTACCTCCAAGGTAAGACTCCAGGTTTAATAAATTTCCTAAAACATTCAGCATTTTTAGCAAATCCTCAAAGATTTTTTTTAGCTCCAAGTGTCATTGTCTATCAATCTGTCGTCAGTCACAATCAACAATTTTATTTTCAACTTCTTCTTGAAAATTACCATACCAATTACCTCTGTCAGATTTGTAACAAGATAACAATTGTAATCACCATGGAAACAACCAAAGAAATTATTATGGTTATGATATTGTGGGAACACTAATATCTATGACAAATAGTTATTAAATATCTCATCTTACAGAAGATTATCAACTTTTGAGGAAGACATTCTGCAGTGGAGCTATTTTCACACATATAGAATTGTATCTTCTAATAGTTTTATCTTCATGGGTTTTTGTTTGTAGCCACATTTGAAGAAACTTCTTGCAGTGACAAAGACATTGACACAGCGACAGAAACAGTATATTGGAGACACAAGTTGAAGGTTGATAGATTGATTCCTATAGTGATGTCAGATTGCCAGTGTCTAGTTAGACATTGCTCTAAACTCTTATTATCCATATATATATATATAAAATTGAAACTTCTTTTTATTAAGAAGAAACTGCTTAATGATCGTAACAGCACTAAATAAAATGCACCACAACAAAAACTACAATGTTGTAGAAGCTCGGTTGGCAAGAGGGTAGAAATTGATGTGTACATAAAACTGTACATACTCCTGAAGACACCAGCTGTAGATGTCTTATTGCATTAATGAGTGAAGTGTTCATATCCATCGTCCTATTCGCTCATGGCCACTCACTTTGCTGTTATTGTCATTTCATCATCACATAATTTTAATTATTATTCAGACTGTTTTTCCAAAATGTCGCCAAAAGATGAACTGGAATTTGATAGGAGCAGAATGAAAAATTATGCAAATTAGATTCAAATAATGTGTAAGTCTTGATGATTTAATGCCCAGAGTTTGAAAACTGTAGATATGCAGGGTTGAACACTGTAGTTGTTTATAGTGGCCATAGATAAATGAATGGATGAGTTAAACACTCGTTGTTCATAGATGAATGGGTGTCTAGGGTTGAACACTGTAGGTGTTCATAGTGTTCATGGATGTTAAAGGCTAAACACTTCAGGTGTTCATGGATATCTAATGTTGAACACTGTAGACTTTCAATGTTATTGATGTCCAATGTTGAACACTGTTCATGCTATAATTGGTGTATGCAATTGTGATGTAGAATTTAACTAGTGTGTTTGCAAGCAGTCATCAACTTTATTTGAAAGAAAATGTGTAACATCTTTGTTTAAAAGCAAGTTGCTATTTTGTGCAAGTTTTTCAGTTTTGAAAGTTAATGTAACAAAATGTGTAAAACTAAATGCAATTGACTGATGTATATCTTCTTACCTGATAATCACTCGTCTATTTATATTATGATTTACTGCCTTCTGGGGAATAAACTCCTTCTAACTAAGAAGTTGATCCTCTACCAATTGTTTGGTTTTAGTGATGATTCCAGGGAAAACTTTGCAATTTATATCCATAATACTTTCTGTTTTTCATTTCTTTTGATCATATTTATCAAATAAAGTTTTGATATGACTGGTACTGTAAATTGAGTATTTTAACATGACTGCAGACGTTTTCAAGAAATACTCACCAACAAAATTTTTGATAAACAAATTTATGTACCTGTTTTGTCTATTTTATATTTTTGCTCATTGTACAAATTAGTTATGGCAACATTTCACATACTTGTAACTATTTGATATACCTGTTTCCCTGTATTATTTTACCTATAATGCACTAGTGAGTATGTAGTACAATATATCCCTTGACATGTTACCATATGAATATGTGAATTTCTTTGCTCGGTTGCCATGACTATAGGCAGACAAAACAATTCATATTGCTGTCAATTGTTATTACATTTCACAAGATTACCGGATATCTTGGGTGGATGCCACTGATGTGTTTGAGTGTTACAAAATGCATTGTATCACTATGCATTTCTCTATAATTTATTATACATACCATATTTGTTTTTGTGGATACACTAATGTAAATACTATGTTGAATATGCAAAGTTTTTTGATCATTTTGTATTTTTGCCTTGCATACACTTCTATTGAAGATGTGCCTCAGATAAAGTTAATATGGTACATCAGAAATGCCTGTATAGAATGACTGTATTCTCCTGGTACATGTCAACTTTTTGGGTGGGATGGCAGAGACAGAATATATTTTTGCAAAAAAAACATTTGTCCTCAACACCCTACCTAAAATAAGTCTCTCTTGGAAAATGAAGATTGGATGTGGCTTGAAAAACTGCATCCCAATGCATTACAAAGCTCTTGGTAAATTATAATAATTATTAATTACCCCCTCCCATACATGACTGGATTTGTGTTGATTACCTTCAGACATGTTGATGTGTGAAATTTTCTATTATGAATATTTTGATCTGATTATTTTTGTATACATTTATTTGTATTTTGTTCTTAACATAATTGCAAGTGATATTACTTTTATATTTGTAATTTATGCCATGTTCTGATTGGTTAAGAACACTTCAGTGAGAGACTATTTATTTGAGTCCATATATTGTCCTTGCTCTATTACCAAATGCACTCAGGAAAATCTCCTGTCAACATAGTAAATGTCAAAATAGACAATGTTTTGAGATGTACCTTGGAACTGCACTTGTAAAAGCTGCACTTCTTGAAAGAGAAAATACCATGGTAGTTGGCTAGTAGTGTAGAACACATTTCAATCATGACTTAAAATTGTATCTTCTTTTCTATTATGTTTATATTTTCACTTGTCACCTGCAATGTCAGGTCAGTTTTTTTTTTTTTTTTTTTTTTCAAAGTGACCTGCATGGTTAGTTTGTGTGTCGTCTGTCTGTGTGTCCTGCCATGTAGAGACATCTGTATTCTCTGATAATAATTATGTCATCAAGCTGGGCTTGCAGAAAATAGTTTTTTTTTTCAACATATTTGTACAGAAGTGAGACCTTGAAAAAATTGAAATAAAGTTTTAAAAAATAACAGTGTTGGGGTACATATGTGTATGCATGTGTGTCTGTTTTGTCAAAAACTCAAATATGCCAATGATAAAGAAATTCAGCTATAATATTTACTACCGTATTTGTTCTATTAGACGCGCATTTCAAATTGAAATGCATATAAACCAAAAATCACATTTGTTTTCGACTCAATCTTTTAAATATTACTTATTTTGACCATGAAAGCACCTCTGTAATTTTCATCTCAAGTATGCATGCTGCAAATACAGTATACATTAAAATTAATAGTTAAATCTTGTCGATTAATGTAAATACTTTTCAGACAGCTGTTTTAGAAATCTAATGAAATGTACTATATGATGAAATGAGTAAGGAGCCATCATTGTAACTGCATTATATATAAGTTCACTAAAATTACAACAATGTATAAAAAGTTAGCTGTGTTGAACATCTTTACAAGTAAAGATGCATCTCAAGTTGACCATTGTCACATATATCACATTACATAATAGCAACGCTACTTTGATTCCTGAACATTTATTTTTTTATTTTTTTCATTTGTGGTGTACATTCCTTGTTAGTCAACCAGATAATGCCACCAATTTAAAATAAAAGCCAAATGGAATTTCAGTACTTAATTATGCAAATAATTATTGCATTCACAGTAAGCACTGGCATCACTCCTCAAAGTGTTTACAGACTGAAGGAAAGATAATCCTACCAGAAAGTTACCAACCCTTGCGTTGAAGATTATTTTAAAATGGAAGTAAAAAATTTAATTCTAATATACCAATTTTATATGCAATTATATAATACATGTTATATTCGGCAACCTGTAACTTGAGTTTTGATTCTGTCAACATTTGTGCACAATGTAAACTTTCTACATACTTGATTATTTTCGACTACTTTGCTAACAGTATTATCCATCCTGCGAATTGCCCATTCTCATGGGTATACCTCACTGTATCAATATCCAATAAGAATGTGTCACAGTGAAACTGTCAATCAGCTTCCGTAGATAAACTAAAAATAGAAATACTGAAATAAAGTCAAATGTGACCTGAAAAATCGTCACTGAGAATGAAAATACTGTGATAATTTATTATTTGCTGGAAAAATCTATGTCTGCAGCGCAAATAATTTGTTGCCTATTTAGACAATCAGAACGTCTTAGTGGGGTTAGTATAATACAAGGATTTATAGATTTTCTGAATTTCAAAATCACTTGTGGTGTTTGTTTAAATCTTCAAAACAAATAAACAATATTAAATCAAAATAGAACACAGAAGTTGTCAGCTCGAGTGATGAACCAGGTGATTTAGATTATACAGTGCTGGGTGAATTGGATTACTACAACTGACATCGATCGTCTGATCACACCATTTATTACTCAATCAGAAAATTTTGGGAAGTACTTAGTAGCTTAATATAGCATCAAATATCAGGGGGAAGTTTTTAGTAAAACAACAGGGAG